CCCGCCCCTCCACGCCCCGCCCCGCCCCTCCACGCCCCGCCCCGCCCCTCCACGCCCCGCCCCGCCCCGCCCCCGTGGGAGGCTGCCCGCGCAGGCCTGAAGGGCCGGTTTGCCTGCGGTTCCCAGGAGAACAGCAGCTGCGTCCCACCAGGTGACAGGTGAGGCCGGAGACCTTGCCGCTCGTGGAGGACCTCGTGGGTGCTGGTGTCAGGGCACCCCTGCCTCACGGGGCAGCCCCCAGCACCTTCCTGCTCGCCTTAAGGGATCCGCCTCTTGAGATGAGACCCCCCGACACCGACTGGGGGCCAGAAACGCTGGTCTGTGGGGATTGGAGGCAGGAAAGCGAATTCCCAGGCCGACCGTGTGACCTGGCGCACGGCCCCCACCGTCCCGGGCGACCCCGTCAGTGAGCATCGCCCCGGGCAGCTGACAGGCAGCGGGCGTCGCCGGCCTGCGCTCCGGCCGGTGCTCACGGCCACACCCGGCAACTCGCGGGGCGTCTCCGCGCGCGGCCGCTCACCTTGGAAAGGTCCACCAGCGTGTTGGCCTGGTCGCTCAGCTTCCTCTGCTCCATCTTGACGCTCCGCAGCCTGTGGGGGAGGGGCATTGACAGCCGTGCCCCCAGTGCGCGTGCGCCGAGTCCCCGTGCGGGCCCCGCCTCTACCTCGAATCCCGCGCGCTGGCCGCCGCATGGGGACCTCGAGCAGGGGTGACGGCTGACCGCAGTCACGGCCGCTCAGGCCCCCGAGAGCAAACTCTTGTCTGCACGCGCGCTGGCCTCAATGACTGCCGCCTCCTGGCTGCCCTCAGAGGGTCTCTGCCCGCGCCCCACGCCCATCCTCCAGTGAGAGCGAATGGCTTCACCCCTGCTCTGCCGCTGTGTTTAAAGTGCCTCCTTGTGCACGGCGCTGACTACAGTGCGTTCTGCTTCGGGTCGTGTGCAGGGTGAGTGCGCGCGAGTGTGACGTGTGAATCCCTGGAGGTGAGGAGTGTGTGTGTGAGATGTGAGCGTCTGTGGAGGTGTAGGGGTGCACGTGTGCGTGTGTCCCTGTGACGTGCGGGTCCGTGGAGCTGAGGAGTGTGCGCTTGTGTGTGTGTCCATGTGACGTGCGGGTCTGCGGGGGGTGAGTGTGTGCATGTGTGTGTGTGTGTCCGTGTGATGTGCAGGTCTGTGGGGGTGAGTGTGTGCGCGCGTGTGAGTGTGTCCGTGTGGTGTGCGGGTCTGCGGGGGGTGAGTGTGTGCATATGTGTGTGTGTGTGTGTCCGTGTGATGTGCAGGTCTGTGGGGGTGAGTGTGCGCGTGCATGTGTGTGTGTCCCTGTGATGTGTGGGTCCGTGGAGCTGAGGAGTGTGCGCTTGTGTATGAGTGTCCATGTGACATGTGGGTCTGCAGGGGGTGAGTGTGTGCGTGTGTGTTTGTGTGTCCATGTGATGTGCGGGTCTGTGGGGGTGAGTGTGTGCGCGTGTGTGTGTGTCCGTGTGATCTGCGGGTCTGTGGAGATAAGGAGTATGCGCGCGTGTGTGTTTATGTGATGTACGATCTGTGGAGGTAAGGAGTGTGCGCACATGTGTGTGAGTGTGTGTCCCTCTGATGTGTGGGTCCGTGGAGGTGAGGAGTGTGTGCGTGTGTGTGTGTGTCCGTGTGATGGGTGTGTGTGAGTGTGCGTCTGATGTGCAGGTCTGTGGAGGTGAGCGCACGTGAGTGTGTGTCTGTGTGGCGTGTGGCGTGTGGGTCCCTCCCCTCTGGCTGGGCGGCTGCGGGTGTGATGAGCGGCTGAGCGGCCTGGGGCCCAGTCACGGCCCAGAGCTCCGGGGTGGAACCTCGCGGCCGCGGGGGCTCGCCCGGTCCTGCCTCACTCACTGGTGGATGGCCTGCAGGAACTTTCTCTGGTGCTTCCTCACTTTGGCGTGGTCAATCTTCTTCAGCAGCTTCGTGTGTTTGTAGATGAGCCACGTTTCCCGCAGGACGTTGGCCGCGGCGTTCTTGATCTGAGGAAAAACAGACACGAGTCGCGTCAGGTTAGTTCTCCGAGGTTCCCGTGGTGCGTTTGTAAGACAGTCTGCCGCCTGCGGACACGGCTCTGCGAAGACCCATTTCCCTCACGGACTCGTGAGCCCTGGGAAGGGGGGTCCGTCCGCCGCCTGGCGCTCCTGCCTCGGACGCAGCGCGCGGCCCAGGCTCTTTCTGGCATTTTCGGGACAGCCTCTCGACCGCTGTCCCCGAGGCGGAGTTGGCGAGGCTGCAGCCCCCAGGGGAGGCGGCCCCGGGCGCCCTGGGGGCAGAGACACGCGCCACCGCTCGGGGCTCGGCCTGAGACCTCGGTTTGGGGGCATGCGGACACCTCGTGGCCTGAGAGAGCAATCAGGCCGCCCAACAGCTGGGGATTTTAAAAGGCCCCTTTGAGGAATGTCTTTCCCGCAAATGGAACCAGAGGCCTCAGCAAGTCCACGGAGTCCTTTCCCAAGCGGCCAAAAGCATTTATGCGGTAATTCCGCACATAGATGTCATTGGATTAAAACTGAAACGATTTCAAAGCGGCGTCTGAACATCAGCGAGATATCTGGGTGAAGCCAGAGCCGTGTCCGGCTCCTTCACGCTCGCCTCTGCGCAGTCCTCCGACGGCGTGGAAACCACCGCTCCCGCCGAAGCTGGGACACATCAGTGACACCCAGATGGCAGGGGACAGAGTCTTAATCCAAACACAGACGTCTTCAGCAATTAGTGATATGAGCAAGAGGAAAAGCTGGCGCGCGAGCTGAACAGATTTCTGATGAACGGCCCCCATTTCTGGCAGCCTCGCAAACTGGCCCGCGGCCCGGAGTGAGCAGGGCGGCCGGGTGGGAATTGAGCTCCGGGCCAGAAAAGGTTTTAACGGACTGGAGAGCACAGGCCTGCTGCTCAGACGGGACGTTGCTCAGACGCTGAGGCGCGGGAGGGCCTGGGAGCCGCTGGCCGGCGGGCGGGTCACTTTGGCGTGTGTGCGTAATGACAATTTATTGCCAAGGCTGGAGTGTATTTCTCACTGGTGAAGTGATGTTTTTAAAAGAACAGCTACGCCTTCTCAGAAATGTCCAAGTGACATAAACACTGCTTGTTTGTCCAGTAAAAATCCACTGTGAACGTGGTGTCAAACGGCTTCGTCGCCCACCTCTGGCACTTCCTTCCCTGAAAGGAAGCAGGTGGTGGTGAGCGGAAGCTGGCCCCGGTCAGTGGCCAGGCGAGCGGCGGGGGGCGGGGCTGGGGTGGACAGGAGCCCCCGATCTCCGGCCAGGGAGGGCGCGCCGCTGCCGACTTGCGCAGGGGAAGGCCGATCAGGTACACGTGCGCCTCAGTCTTCCTGGTGCTTGGCCTCCAAGGAGGGCCTCGCAGGAACCCAGGAGAAACCCTCTCCCTGCATTTAGGACGATCGGCCGAGCCCGAGTGGCACCGGCGTCCCCGTGGGGGGCTGGCCCACAGAACAGCGCTGTGGACGGCCTTCACCACGTGTCTCGGTGTTGATGTGGAGCAAACAGGTGAAATGGGAAGTCTGCAGGCTCGTCCTCGCTCCTGCAGTTGTGAGCATTTAGGAGAAAATGCTGGTTATCTCATAGGCGGGAAAAAGAGATCCTCACCCTAAGGCCGTGAGGCCCCAAGGAGGCGGCTCTGGTGGTGTCAGAGGATGGGGTGCAGGGCACAAAGTCATCAGGCAGGGACTAGTGTGACCCCGTGTGACGGACAGATGCAGACCAACACCACGGAGTCACAGAGGGTAAACTGAGTCATTGCAGACTTCAGAGTCACCAGGCTGTACGTGCACAGATGTTAGTTACTGTCACCTCGCCCAGACCCCTGTTTAACACAGGAGGACGTGGCGTGGGAGACACGCGTGGCCGGCTGACGGCAAAGTGGGAACAAGGCCCGAGAAGAACTCCAGAAGAACGGCCTGACCCGACTTTTCCCTACACAGACTACACTCTCTCCTGTTTTCCAGGATCAAGGAATTGGAAAAGCGTTTGCATCGTTGTTGAAGTCTGCTCCTCAGGGCCCTCGCTTGGCCGCGCGACAGAACGGCGGTCCAGGCTCGACCCCTCCAGCCCGAGTCTCAGGCTGGAAAGTCGCAGCACCGCCTGGGCGGCTGAGAGCGGCCGTCACGTCATCGACGGCTTTGGCCAGGAGGCCCCTGTGCGTCCGGGAAAGGGACGTTAAACACAAGCCGTGGTGCCGGCTCTGAAATTAACAGCCGGCAAACAGCCTGGCACAGAGCTCAGTACATCACGGAGCGCAGAAGAAACGCGTTTAGCCGCACTGCGTCTCCCGGGCTGACCGTAAATGCCACTCGACCAGGCTCCCCTTCGCCACCTGGCGGAGCGCTTCCAACACCGCTGGGGTGTGAGTGGTCATGTGCCCCCCAGGGATTCGCCGAGCTGGGGGCTGGGGGGCCGGGGACCCTCTGAGCTCTCCTGGCAGGCGGGGGTGCCAGGGACAAAAGGTGCGCCGGGGGCGGGGGTGGGAAGGGTCAGGGACCCGGGGAGGACGGGGAGGTTGATGGCCGCCAGGGGCCCGCACGCGGAGGCTGGCTCTTGTGTCCCCCCCCCCCCCCCCCACACACACGAGCTGCCTGGTGGCTGGGGGCCCGCACGCTCTCTACCCCAGAGAATGGGCTCAGTGGCCTACATGCTTCAGAGCGGCCCTGAGGTCACCGGGCTCTGGGCAAGGAAGTCATCCAGCCGGGGTCTCCCAGGAAGCAGCGGCCACTGCCATGCAGCAAGAGCTCGCTGTGCCGGCTCCGCACTGAGCACCGGGTGGGCCGCGCCCCGTGGCCAAGCGTCCTGACAGGCAGGCCCTGTGCTGGGGGCGACGACACCGGGTCCTGCCCTCAGAGGAGCTCACGACCGTGCTGGGACAGCGTGCGGCTTGTCCTGTCGGGCACTGAGGGCGAGAGGCAGCTTGGGGCGGCCATCAGAGGGTGGCGGCGGTGCCGCGGGTCTGCGCCCAGTACCCGGGGACCCGCCTGGCGCGGCGTCTGCCCACAGTGGCCCCGCTGCTGTCCTCCACCCACGGAATGTGGGCTCCTCCCCGCCCCTGCCCCCAGGCCTGGAAACCTCACTGAACACACTTGTCTGTTCCCCGAACTCCTGACCACATGACTCAGGCCAGGGCCCCGCCCCCCGCCCGGGCCACCTGCCACGCAGCCCCGAACAGGGCTGTCAGCTGCAGGGGGACAGCACCTCTCCTGGCCCTGAGCCGCCAGCAGCCTCAGGAGCTGCCCGCTGACCCTCCCGGGAAGGGGTCACCAGCCTGTTCCCGCCGGGATGGTCCCTAGCGGGGAGGGTGGTCCACTTGAGGCGGGAGGGGGTCCGGGAGGGGGTCCGGGAGGGGGGCCGGGAGCGGCGCTGGGAGGGGCGCCGGGAGGGGGGCCGGGAGGGGGGACAGGACAGGAGGCGGAACAGGCCTGGCAGACACCTTCAAGGAGCCGCCCGGGTTGGGTTTAGATGAACGGGGGGCTGGTGGGCATCATGGGCCGGCCCCGGCTTCAGGCACTTGATGGAAGGACCCTGTCCGCACAGGATGGGGGAGAGGCTCTCCCTCTTCCCACCTGCCAGCCCCTCCCAACTCACCCTCACCCCCACAGCCTCCCCGCTGTCTTCCTTTCCTCTGTCCACCCGCCCTGTCCCGCCCCGTGTCTCTGCCAGGCCCCTCGGCCCGCAGGAGGGGGCCAGCCTCAGTGCTGGGAAGCCGGCTCGGCCGCCTGGCGGGCAGGAGGGGGCGGGGGGTCACTGGTTCCAAGTTAGAGTCTGGGGCTCCTTGCTCCGAGCACCAGGGCGACGGATGGTGCTGTCAACGAGCGCCTGGCCCGTGTGCAGGCAAACTGGCCTTCGCTCCCGCAGGCCTGGGCCCTAACCGCCGTGCCGAGTGCCCGGTAACTGACCGCCCCGGGGAAGCCCACAGGTTCTGGCTGGAAGCCACCTGCAGCCCTGGTTAAGGCCTGGTGAGCTGCAGGTGGCTGGCGGCCCCCATGCGCCCATCCCTGGACCTGAGAGTCTGGTCCTTCAGACTCCTTCCAGCTCAGAAGCTCAGTGCTGGTATGTCTTTACTACAGAAAACCCGTACCCAGGCCGCCTAGGTCAGATCTCTGGGCGCGAGGTGATCCACAGGCCCTTTCTGGGGAGGGTTAGCATTCTGGTAACTGATCCATTGCTTACTTGCTAAGTTTTTAAGAGATTAAGACCTGTTATGAGCAAATCTTTTTATTAGCCCGCTGGAAGGCAAAGGTTTTCTGGGCATGGCTGTGATAAAACTTTTACGTGTGCTCATAATGAAAGAAGAGTTTTCTTTAGCACTGGGCAGTAGGTACGGGGGCTGCTCAGGTTTTGAGCAGGGTGGTGATGTGTTCAGAGCTAAGTCCTGGAGCCTAAGGGGGCCCTCAGGGAAGCCGGCGTGTGGAACAGCCATGGCCTGGTGCAGTCCAGGCTCGGGGACCCCGTGGGGTCCAGGGCAGAGATGCGTCCGAGAAGCTGCTAACTTTGTAGGCCTGGGGACCAGGGCACTCAGGAGAAGGAACCAGTGGAGGAAAGATCTGGGCTTGGTTTGGATCTCACTCATTGACTTCATGGGGAAATGGATTTACATAAAGTATTTGGGGCAAGAGCCCCGCATGGCAAGGGTAAGGAGACACAGTCCTCAGCCAGCGGCACACACCGTGGTCTGATGTGGACAGTCGACATGGCAAACAGGACGCCTCCTGTCCACGGTGCTCCATAAGCCGTGCGTCCACAGGTAACATGCCCTGCTTTTCCGAAAGCAGAGGTGCTCTCCGAGGACGGGCAGTACGGATGGACATCGTGTCTCCTGAGCACAGAGGGTGGCCCACGGGTGACTGATGACAGGTATGTTCAGTTGCGTGAAACAGAGGTGGGAACATGAGGCACTGAGTGGGGGGCAAGATGGGCATCTGCTGTCATTTTAGTCTCTGGGTGGCCTTTACACACATCGTCTAGTAGCTCAAGGCTACTAGCCCTGCATGGTCACTGCGGGAAGGTGTGGTTTTTAAAAAAGGTTTATTTTTGAAAGAGAGAGAGAGAGGGAGACACAGAATCTGAAGCAGGCTCCAGGCTCTGAGCTGTCACACAGAGCCCGATGCGGGGCTCGAACCCACAAACTGTGAGATCATGACCTGAGCCGAAATCGGCTGCCCAACGGGCCACTCAGGCGCCCCGGGAAGGTCTGACTGCACTAAATGTGGGGAGACGTGGCTGCCAGAGTTGACAAGTTAGACAAACGACAGAACAGTGTGGATTCAGGAAAACCAGAAACTGGGTTCAGACCTCGTGCTGCCCTCAGCTCGTCCTAACACCCGGTGTTGCTCTGAGGCTTCGGGCAGGGCGTTAGAGGGGACTGAGCCACTGCGTCCCAGGGAGGGGAACTGGGCTCTCTGAGACCAGGTCAAGGTCAAGGCAAGCGGAGGCCAGGGCTGGCCAAGCTCACCAGCACCTTCCCACCAACCAAGGTTTGGAGAAGAGCCTCCGAAGGCTTTGCACGCACGTCGGGGGCTGGGGGCTGGGGGCTGGGGGTTGGGTGAAGCCCGCTGGGAACAGCCCTCAGTGCTGCTGTCTTGAAGCTAAATTATGTTTTCTCTTGTGCAGTGGACAGCCTGGGCCACACTGTGCCACATTCAACCATCTGCATGTCAACAACGCTAGGCTATCTGCCCAGACCCGTCCCTTGTCACATCTGTGGAGGCTCCTCGAAGAATCCAGACCAAACAATCAAACCCACAAATAATTCTGCTGAATGGTGCAGAGGCCTGGGCACGTGCGGCGCTCCTGCGATCCCCCGCCTGGTGCTGGCTGCCCAGTGTCCGCTGGGCCCCGAACACCTGTACCGCGCTGCGGCCGACATCATGGGCTGTGTTCAGATTTCAAAACCCAGACCAGCACGTGGGTGCTCGCGGGTCCTGAGGAAAGCCTGCCACTGCCGCCAGAGCCCCCGTGTGGGCTCTGACGCCCTCTCAGCTTGGGGACAGAACAGCCTCGCAAGATGTCCCCTCGCTGACCTGTGTGCCACCTGCAGTTCTAGAAAGTTCTCCATAAAAGCCGCCATTAGGGAACGGCTCCCACCTTGCGTCTGGCAGTCATCCGGGAAGGACCCGTCTGGTCCCTCCCGCAGGGCCCTTCCCGAGCCTGACTGTCCAGCCGGCGCTGGCCCTCCGCGGCCGACCCCTCTCCCCGGTCCCGCCCCCCGTGCTGCTCTTCCTCAGCCACCAGGGAGGCATCACCCAGAAGCCCCGGGACAGGGCGGATGATGACACTTGGAGGCGCAGCATTTAGAAATGTGGGCTCTGCTGTGATGATGATGATCGTCTTTAATGATTTTTTTTTTAAAAAGAACTGGATTTAGATACAGTTCCAATATCATTCTTAAGAGCCGACTGCCTTCCTAACGTGAAAACGCCTGAGCCTAGATGGAAACGCTGCCTCACGCAGGTGGTGAGTTCAATGCTGCCAGGAGAGGGCGGGGGAGGGTCAGCTGTGCCCGCAGGCATCCCGCCCCGGCCCCCGGCCCCCCGTGGACAGCGTGGCCTGACCTCCGTCACAGGACCGTTGGCCCGTGGCTGGCTACCCACCGCTCTGGGCCCCACGGGGACGCGGACGGCGGCGTTTTACCCGTTTGGTGAGCTGAGTGTCCATCATGAAGTTGTGCACGTGCTTCTCGGCTTTGGTGAGCTCCAGCTTCCGGGCCACCACGGCCACCACCAGGGCAGTGCAGCCCGCGCCCTGTGGGGGGACAGCAAGGGCGGGGGGAGAGCGCGTGACTGCAAGGCAAGCGCAGGCAGACGACGGGACCCCCCTCCGCGTCCACTGCGGGGTCCGGGGAGTGGATGGGCGCCAGGAGCCTTCGGGCCCCGACGGCCGCCCTCCTGAGGGACCCGCTGTCTTGGCTGCAGGGCTGGCCTCTGGGGACCCGAGCTTCACACAACCAGCCAGTTCCTAGCAGAGCAGGGCAGGGCTGAGGCTTCGGGGACAGTCCCCTAGCAGACAGTTTCCCTTCATGGGCAAGGCTGTGGGGACCCCGGCCCCGCCCCGCCCTGCCCTGCACACTGGCCTGGACCACCCTGCCCTCCCTCATGGGAAGAGAGGAACAGGCTGACCCTCTAGATGCCACACTATTTGCCACAAGCCCAGTTCAGCACTTTGAGGTCCCAGGACTGAAGGGCTCCATCACTCATCGGTCTAACAGGATGGGTTAGAAATAGAAGTGAGCACTTTTCAAAGGTGCAGAACCAGCCCTGAAGCCGGGAGGGGTGAGCACGGCGAGGCCCCGCCCTCCGGAGGCCGAGGCCGAGGCTGAAGGGCCCGCGCTCTCCCCTGGCTTCTCCCAGGACGCTCTTGTGCCCCTTGGCACATCTGGAGCCACGGTTCGCAGCCCCGCAGCTGGAAGGGCCTGGGTCTGTGACCCCTCCTCTCGCGACCTTGTGTTCCTCTTGTTCAGGGATGGCTGTGTTCTTGGCAACTGTGACTTGCAGAGACTGTGTCCCCTTCACAGGACGTGTCTGGGCACTTGCACAGCATGGCCTCATGCTGTAATTGATTTAACCAAGCTTCCAAAAGCAAAAAATAGCTTAAAAGAAGCCATCCTGGAGGGAAGAGGTGTGCTCCCCTCCCCTCAAACAGACCACGTATCACCCTGCTCCCCTATACGGGGGTCCAGAGGTACTCTGGGCTGAAAGCCCAAACACGGGGACACATCACAGTGTTAAAAATGGAGCATCAGATGGAGAGGGCTCTCCCCAGGCGCTGTTCCTCGCCCACCTCCCCGGGGCCAGCTCCACTTAAATCACCCTGAGAGCTGGGGACAGAAGATGCCTGAGGAGGGGGCCCCCACTCATCATGTCGCTTTGGGGATTTCATTAGAACAATCACTCGAGCACCATCCTGGATTTCCAGGGTCCGGAGAGAGTGTCCCCAGCTCTCACCGTGGCCCGCAGCCTAGCTGGTTAAACACAGGGGGCTTCCAGTTAGAAGCTAGAGTGTTTTAACTAAGGAACCATGTATTTTATACAATAAGAGAAGTTTCTGCATGAAGACAGTAGGGTGGATTGGATTACATTTTCAATTTCTTTTGACTTAAAGATGCCAAGACTTTCTTGTGGATATTTCTCTGGCGGGTGTTGGGTTCTTAACCCAGAATTCTAATCTCAATAGATAGCAGAGAATACTCTCAACTTTATTTTTTCTTTTGGAAAACCCATCATCTGGATGTAATTAGGGAAATTGCCAATCACGAAGCCTCACTTAATCATTTCCATTAAGCGACAACCTGGTAAAGATGGGGTCAGACATCAGCAGCTTCTAGAAAGTGGTGGGCCGGGTGCTGAGATCCACTGCTGGTCCTCTGTGCAGTGTGTGTGAGAGATGGAGACACAGAGAGAGAGCAGGAGGGGGAGGGAGGAGGAGGAAGGGGGAGGGAAGGGGGGAGGAGAAGAGATGGGAGGGAGGGGAGGGGTGCAGAGGGAGAGGGAGCTGGAGCAGAGACCAGACAGGGATCACTGGGGGGGGAAGAAAAAGGGAAGGAGGGGGAGAGGCGCCGTGGGGGTGAGTGAGGAGCCGCGGATCGGGGAGGGGAGGCGGGGGCCAGACGCTGGCGCAGCGGGCCCTCCTGCAGGTCAGGTTCCCGCGGGCGGGCCGTGTGGGGAGACGGGGGCAGGGTGGCATGGGATGGAGAGGAGGAGGGGCTGCTGGCGTGACCTCCAGGGGGTCACACTGTGGAGCAAATCCATGACTCGGGCTTTGCCTTCAGAAGTGCCAAGTCCAGAGTCATGGGTGACACCAGCTGGGCTCCTGGGTCTCCCGAGGCCACCTCCTACCCCCGAGGGAGGGGCGGGGGGGCAGGGTCCACCAGGACGGGCGTGGGAAGCAGGGGCAGGCGTGGCCTGAGGGGGCCAGCCTGCCGACCCATCCCCAGGTCGGGGCCCAGAGACCCGCGTCCCCCGCACGGTCCCCCCTCCGGAGACCCGCGTCCCCCGCACCGTCCCCCCTCCGGAGACCCGCGTCCCCCGCACCGTCCCCCCTCCGGAGACCCGCGTCCCCCGCACCCATCCTCCATCTCCTTGATTCCAGGAAACACTTTCCGGCAGCAAAACCTCAGACTCTGGGGAGACGGGTCCCCAGGGAAGGATGGTCCCAGCTGGCGCAGCGAAGCTGAAGGCAGCGTACAGCGCGGTGACAAACGGGGGCACCCCGCCCGGAGGGCATGCCCGGATTCGGTGTCTGCGGCGACTCCACACAGCAGCTAAGACACATCGGTTGGTTTGGACGCCCGTGTTTCTGGGAGAGGCTCATCTTCCAAACCTGACGCGGAGCAGACGCGCTGCAGACCCCCCAGCCCCGCCTCGCCTCCCCCGCCTCTGCGGCTCCGGGAGCGTCTCTCCTGAGGCCTCGGGGCGGCTCAGTGTCCCCAGCACGCATCCCACCGCTTCGGTCTACTTGTCCCGAACTCAGGAAGGGCCCACGGGGCCGAGCGGCTCAGCTGCACCGGAACGCGGCTCGTCCGGGGTCCCGGGCCCCCTGCTGTCCCGGACGCCCGCAGCCCACGGGCTTCCAAGGCACCGCCCCACGTGTCGCGTGTCCAGCTCTGGCCAGGAAATACCGACAGCTGTCTCTGCGCTGTCACCGCTCCTGACGCTCCTGGAGGACGGCTCTGCGTCCGCGGCTGAGACCCCCAAGCCGCCGGGTCTGGGCCACAACGGCCGCAGGCTGTTCAATCAAACACCCGGCTTAATGGTTGGTAATTACACTGTTTCCAGGATCACCACGAGAAAACAATGATTAAGAGTATTTACAGCCGCGCACACAATCCCCCCCCCTGCCTGCAGTGTCCATGGCAACCAGGCGGGAAGCCCTACCTGTCCTTGGGAAGTAGGGGGGGAGCGGGGAGGCTGGGGGAGGGAAGGGGAGGGCGGGTGGCTCCAAAACCCCAGCAAGAATGACTCAGCTAGAAAAGGGCCACCAGGGTGCGTCGCTGCGCGTGGCCCCAGCGGGAGGCAGTGGACACTAACGTGGGCCAAGCACTGCAAGTAGCAGCCCTGCCCATGCACGCGGGACGGAGATGCTCTGAACAAAAGAGAAGATGAAGGGCCTACGTTGTTTCGCATACGGGTGGGGGTGCGGCCCCTCGCTGCGTGCGGTCCCAGTTTCCACCGCCCCTCCCTACATGGGGACAGCAGCCCTCCGCCCCGAGGAGGAGGCCCCCAGCAGGGGCCCGGGGTCGGGGGGCTGCCCAGGGGGGCTCCGGGGACAGCCACGCAGAGCCCGGCCCCGCGCAGCGCCCTCCCCCCCCACCAGCCGCTAAGACGCCAGGCCACATGTCACTACGGGCAGGAGGGGCCGGGCTGCTTGCTAATGTGCCGCATGGACGGGGCGTGGGGGCACCGGGCGTCCAGACGGGCCTCCGGCTCGGGGTCCCGGCGCTAGAGCCTCCTCTGCTGTGAGGGCCCGAACTCAGCAGCCTGGTCACCGGCTCAGCGCCAGGTCTCGGCAGTGGGGGGGGGGGCAGCCCCCACCTGGTGAGGACTTCGGGCCCTTTGTGCTGCAAACTGGGATGAGTGACGTCTGGGGGGCACCATAAGGAAAACCTCCCCCCACACCGTGTAGGGGGTGTGGGGGCCGTGGAGGCCCCCGGGCCCCCCAGGGCTGCAGGCCTGTGCGCTCACACCCCGCGGGCACCCCAGGCTTTCCTGCAGCCTCTCCTCAGAGCCCGGGGGGTCCTCTCCTGAAGAGAGGTCACTGGGCGGTGGTCCTGGGCCTACAGAGAAGGGGCCCAGCCACGGGCGCCGTGGGGCAGCGGGCGCGGGGGCTCCTCACCGGCAGCCAGTCCCCACCGCGCGCCGGAGACCCCCGGCTCCAGTTCAGGCTAAGGGTCCACGGCTCTGCCTTGTAACGGGCAGGAGGGCAGGGGCGTGTCAGGCGGGGGCGGGGGGGCTGGGCAGGAGGGCACCTGGAAGGAGGTGGCACAGCCGCAGGCCCCGGGGAGGGCCCAGCCCTCACGGCCCCCGCGCCCCCATGTGTGGATGTGGAAGGAGGCCCCGGGGGGTCTCGAGCTGGCTTGTAGCCAACGGGGACCCGGGCCGCCCGGCGCCCGCCCCCGGGGTTCCAGCTAAGCTTCCTCAGATGTGGTGCCAAGTGTGTGGGGCCCCAGGGCGGGAGGGAGGACAGGTGACCACGGGCCCTGACGCCTGCGGGCGCCCTCGGCAGCCGGGTGCTGCCCCGTTCTGGGGGGACACTGAGGAGGCCATAACTGCCCGGAACAAGGAGCTGGGACTGTGTTAGAAAAGGAAACTGAGGGGCGCCCGGGGGGCTCAGCCGGGTAAGCATCCGACTTCGGCTCAGGCCATGATCTCGCGGTTCATGGGTTCAAGCCCCGCGTCGGGCTCTGTGCTGACTGCCAGCTCAGAGCCTGGAGCCTGTTTCAGTCTGTGACTCCCTCTCTCTCTGACCCTCCCCTGCTCACGCTGTCTCTCTCTCTCCCCTAGAAATAAATAAAACATTTAAAAAAAAAAAGAAAAGAAAAGGAAACTGAAACCGAGAAGCGCCTTCCTGGCTGTGTGCGGGGAGGGGAGACCCAGCCGTGGCCCGCGGCCTGCGCAGAAGACCCCTCCGTGAGCTCCGCGCAGGGTTTGCAGGTGGGGAGGGTGACGGGCGAGCCAGGTACTCACCATGATGCCGGTGAGGAGACAGACGCCCTTCCCGCAGTACGTGTGCGGCACCATGTCCCCATAACCGATGGAGAGGAAGGTGATGGAGATGAGCCACATGGCGCCCAGGAAGTTGCTGGTCACGTCCTGTTGGTCGTGGTACCTGCCGGGGAGGGGGCAGGGTGGGGGGAGACAGCGCTCAGTGGAAGGGGCCACCGCCCCGGGGCCCAGAGGCTGTGGGCAAACCTGGACGGGGACGAACTGGGTCTCTGCTGAGATGGACACAGCGGTGCTGGGGACCGAAGGTGCCGTGACTGCCCCGCCCGCCCCCAGCTTGGTCCCCGAGGCCGCGTCTGCCCTGGCGCGCACTGTAGATGCCCTTTGAGTGTTGGTAAAATGGCTTTGGATGAAATCACGACGCAATAAAATTTAGATTTTCCCTTCCAAGTCGACAGCCTGAGCGTACGTGGATGGGGCTGATCTGTCGCAGGCTCCTGAGCAGGGAAAAACGTCAAAACCCACCAAGCGCGTTTAGCAGTCTGGCCCCCAAGAACGGCAGGTGCGGGTGTCCAGAGGGGGCTGCAGAGCCGGCTCCCTGTCCCCAGGGGACACCGGGGTCCCTGCAGAGGGACAGTGTCTCTTCTGAGCTGGATGGGGCTCTCGGCTCCCCTGTCCAGGGAGGAATAGGCTGGAAGGGCATTGCTGCTCCCCCGGCCGGTGACCACGGCGCCCCACCCTCTCCCCCCCGGCTGTCACCCCCAGACACCGAAGCACGCTGAGTGCCAGGCTCCGTGCCAAGGACGGAGACGCAGAGATGAGCAGGACGCAGCCCCCTCAGGGCTCTCGGCTGGGGGGGGGACGGGCGGTGAGGGTGCGGACGTCTGCAGAACTGGATGGACGAGGCACTTGTGTAACAGGAGGGAGGGGGCAGTGACCTTGACCCCAACACAGGCAGGCCAGGAGGAAGGGTGCTCAGGCAGGAGGAGCCCCTGTCGGAAGCCCGGGGCTCGGCTCGAGCGTGGCAGGGGCGCCTGGGAGCCTCGGGGAGGCCGGAAGGCTGGGGAGACCCCGGAGGGGTGCAGGGGACAGCCTCCCCCCGAGCCTGGCCGGAGCGGGTTGCAGGGAGCACACGGTGGTGGGCGCATCGGCCTTTGCGAGCTTTCTGCGCCAGGGCCCGCCAGCCCCCAACTCCAGGCCAACGCTCAAACGACAGACGCCCCCCCGGCTCTGCTGACCAGGTGCCCCACCTGCCGCCGCCTCCCTCTGTGTGGGTGGTACAGGCTGGTGCCGCCCCCGCGGGTCCCCAAGACAGAGTGTGCCCCCCCGACCCAGTCTGACTCCCCCTCGAGTCTCCTTGTGTCCCCTCTGTCCCTCCCACTCCTGCACGCTGCTCTCCGGGGGCAGTGGAGCCAGACCCCGGCTCTCAGGACCCGTCCCCCGCTGGGGTCACCAGTTCCTCCTGAAGGAGTCTCGGGTCGGGCCTGAGGGCAGCAAGGTTGGGGCGCAGGGCAGAGAAGAGGTGAGCCCATGGCCTTGGGCTTGGCTCTCCCGGCTTCAAGCCCCGGCTCCACGTCCAGTGGCTCCGTGCTGTGGGCAAGCGACTTGGCCTCTGTGACTCCGCTTCCCTATCTGCTGACAGAAGGAGCCCCAGGACGCATGCACTCGGTGTGGGCGACGGTCACTGCGGGGGGGACAGGTGTCGTCATCCACTGCAGGACGCAGGCAGGGGCCACGAGGGCAGGGGAGGAGGAGACCTTCCTGAGGGTCGGGAAGTTTGGGCCGCAGGGCTGCTGGGCGCGGGCACGAAGCATCTGCTGTGAATTCCTGGACACAGAAGGGGCAAGACACTGGTGTCCGAGAAGGACGCCCCAGCAGCTGCCGGCAAGACTGAGAGACAGCAGGTCCCGGGCACCGGACCTGCTGGCAAGCGCGCAGGTGGCCGGGGAGAAGCACGGAGGGCCGCGAACGCCCGCCGCGGGGCCTGGGTTTGGTGTGCAGCCTGTGTTCTGTGCGCGTGACGGGCGCTCGCGTCCTGGCAGCCTGCCTCTCCCTGCAAACCGGCGCTTACAGCAGCGTCGCTGGCTGCTCGGCGGCCTCGGGACCCGGGCCTTCTACTCACACGTGAGCGGCTCACGAGAGAAGGACATTGGAGCTCAGGGCGGGATTCGGGATTAGCAACAGGTGGCAGCCTTTTCATCCCCTTGATGTTTGATTTACTGTTTTATTTTCTCTAAATTCCCTTTATGTTCTCGTGGGTTTCTTTTTCGTTCACAAATACAGTCGCCTTGGTGCTAGTGTGTGTGCCGCCGTCCAGAGCAGGCCTTGAGGCCCCCGTTCACACACAGCTGCCAGACTGGGGTGCTGCCCCTCCGGGGGGGCGTGAAGACACCCCGCTGCCCCTCACAGCTCAGCAGGCGGGAGGCGATGGGCTGGAGGCAGAGGGCGGGGGCTGTGGAGACCAGAAGCCATCACCATTTTGCAGCGGCTTACACCTGTCACAAGTCTGCATATTTGTGTGCTAGTCTTTGCGATAGAGAATTTTTCAGAGAATCTTGTTTTTCTCTAAAGGCTAGGGAGGAAAGTGCCTTTGTTTTTAAGGATGGCTATTATAGTGATTAATTTCTCATTAGGGTGTGCTGTGGTCTTTCCCTTTTTACTGTTATGAAACAGGTGACAGATATAGGGGCCGGGTGACGACTGGCAGCAAATCACACACACACTGCTGCCTCCTCAGGCCCTCCACGCGGGCAGGCCACCGGGCCCCCGCACCTCAGGACAGCTGCGGACATGAAAGACACAGAGCGAATCAGCGGACAGAGAAGCAGAACTCTGGGTCACATACAGACGGGGGCAGAGAGGAGCTCGTGGGGGAAACCCTGTAATCAGCGTCCTGACAGGGACGGACTCTGGCCCCAGGAGACAGGAGTCAGTGCTGCACAAGGGGCTCTTTCTGGAAGGGCTGGGGAGGAGTGTGCCCTCTGGAGAAGCGTAGATGGGAAGATCGGGGGCAGGGCGGTAATAGCGCAGAACAACGGACTCTAACGCATATCCTTGTATAACTTCCATAATATTGAACATAAGACCAAACCTAAGAGAAAAAACCCAAAAATACATTAACGTAAAATTCAGTCGGGAAGCATAAAAGCAAAATCGGCGTCCCTGAGCTCACTGCCTGCCGATGCCTTGTGTGCTCCCTCAGGGCCACGCGGCCGCTGACGCACCAGCCTACTGTGTCCTTCCACACCTGAACGTCGTATGGCTTAGCTCTGCCTACTTCCGGGGGCCACAGGGGTGAAAAAACCCAGGAGTGTGGTCACAGCCTCAGACACGGCCCGGCGGCCCCCTCCCTCCTCCAGGTACTCTGTAACCCCCTCCTGAGTGTGGGCTGGACCTGGCGACATGTCTCTAACACGCAGAACGCGGCGGAAGTGATGGGTGGTCAGCTCTGAAGTCCAGTTACAAAAACACCACAGCCTCTGTGCTGGGCGATCTGTGCCTTGTTCTATTCTGGATCGCTCCCACTTGGGAGAAGCCACTTGCCATGCCGCGAGGTGACCCTACGGAGAGGCCTGCCCGGTGAGGGGCCACAGCACGCCCACAACCGGGTGAGCGGGCTTGGAAGCAGAGACCCTTTAACCTGAGCCTTGAGAGGAGACCACATCCTGGGAGACAGCTAGGCTGCGATCTCACGAGACACCTTGAGCCGGAGGTGTCATTCGAGCTGTCCCTGAAATCCTGACCCTTAGCAACTGTGACACAGGCATCATCTGTTGTGTTAAGCTGCTGCATTGTGGGACAACTTGTTACACAGCAACAGGTAACTGTTACAGTGAACTTCTATGGACTGCCTTTTGCCCCTCCTACCTGGGCCCCTCCCACCTGGACGCCCCCCCCCCCCGGGACCCTGCCCCGGCCCCGCCCACCCTGGGCCCCTCCTCCGGGGCTCCTCCCCCTGGGGGCTCACGGGACAGGGCAGCCCAGAGGCAGGAAACGAGTAACTCCTCCCAGGTCCTCCTTCTCCGGCTGCCCCAGTTCAGGTCGACCGCTGCCCTGCCCTCTGCGTGGTGATTTGTGGTTTGGACGCCATATCTCTGTCAATCCCGTCTGTTCCATCTGCAAGATCTGTCCCGAATCGGACTCCTCCCCACGGCGGCCACAGCCATCGGCTGCTCCAGGCCGGCCCTGTCACCAGAACGGGGACAGCAGGGCCCGACTGGCCTGCTTCTGCCCATGCGATGCCCGCCCCACTAACAGCAGCCAGGCCACGTCCCCTCTCTGCTCAGAAATCCCTGAACTTCTCAGAACATCCAAAGTCCTTACGGGGCCACAAGGCCTGAAGCAGCCTCCCCGGGCTCCAGGGACCCCACCCCCACCCCCACCCCAGGCTCCAAGGACCCCACCCCCACCCAGGGCCGTCCGTCCACGGCTCTTCACGGCTCTGCTGTGGCCACCGGCCTGCAGCAGCCCAGCCCCTCCTGACTTGGGCGCTGCCGTTCCCTTGCCCGGAAAGCACGTGCCCCAGATGATTTCTGGTCTTTGCGCAAGGGGCTCCCCGGCCACCCTCTTTACGCGGCCCCCTTTCTCCCTTCCCTGCGTCCCTTGGCCCCCCACACACCACCACCTGACGTAATATACACTCTGCCGCCCCATTAGAGCGTAAGCCTCATGAAGCAGGATGCTCTGTACTGCTCGCTGCTGTGTCTCTAATACTCGGCACATTTTGCTGAACTAACGATCGCATCTTGTCTCTGTCGCCAGCCAGCGGCACCGGGCTCTTACCCCAAGTTTACGATGAAGCAGTGAGCAGCTCGGGCACTAACTGGCCACAGCCTGGCTCATGGCAAGTAAGTGAAAAGGCTGATCCGAAAGGAAGCTGCCGAGAGCAGGGCGTGGGGTTTGCACCCCTGGGCGACGCCACGTGGCCCAGCCTGACTAAGCACCTGCCGGGTGGCGGCCAGCAGGACGGTGGCCGGGGGCTGCCCGAGGGGCAAGGAGCAGGGGCGTTGGCGGGCCTGACCAGCTCCCACGGAGGGGCGCCGCCCTGGAGCGCTGGGCCCTCTTCCCGCCCTGCCTCTGCCTTTGTGCCGAGTGACCGAGTGCCCTCGGGACGCTAGGGCTGAGATGGCAGCTTCGGGGAAAGCCCTGCTGTTTCCTGAGGATGTTCGGTCGGCCCAAGTCCAGGCGCATCTGGAGCCGCTCCCGGCTGGTGGGAGCCGCCGGCATCTGGATCCGGGGAGGCGCCAGCGGCCGGTGCCGGGCTGGGGGTCGCAGCCGCAGGTGAGGTCACATCCAGGCAAAGAAAAACAACAAAGCGCTTCCTTGGCTTAAAAACCCTTCCCCTTATAAACATGTGGAAATGTGCGGAGAAAGGCTGCCCACGAGGCCAGCAGAGCTCGGGCCCAGGACGCGAGCGCACCGAGGCGGCCAGGGGCCTGTGTGCGAATTCAGGAGAGTGGGGAGGCCCCTGCTCCCAGCAACACAAGGCCACGGCTACTTTTCCAGGAGGTCTGGTCTCGTATTTCTAAGAGCTCGTGGCGTGGGGGGTGAGGCCCCAGGCTGTTCCGAGGGGAGAGCCCCCACCACCAGCACCGAGCACGACAGGCCGGCTGCCACGCGCCCCTGAGACACGTGGCTCGTTCCCTTCTGTGGACACAGTCGGTGTGGACTTCCTCTGTGGCGGTGCACGCACGTGGGGCTGGTGTCACGTGGATGCAGCTCCGGCTAACAGGCCTGGTGGGGGCTCGGGCGACAGGGCCCCACTCAGCATTCCGTCCAGCCTCTCCAGTCTGCACAGGGAGGCAGCGTCCGAGGGAGGCTGGCCACCACCGTCCAGTCTCTCCATAGCGAAAACGGTTCCCAGAACGGTTATTAAATAAATTAAAAACCAGATGGCTCATCTGGCAAATCCTTCTGAGTCAGTTTCTCTACTTGCAATGTTTTCTTTCTTTTTATTAAAAAACATTTCCATGTTTCCTGATTTGGAAATGTTTAATAAAAATGCATGAGACCGGAGGAAAACAATATGTCTGGAAGAAGCGCTGGACCGCGGCAGGCGTGCGCTTGCGGCGTTGGGCGGTGGTGGCCGGGGGCCGAGGGGGCGGGGGCCGTGCGCCAGGCCCTCTCCCTCCCTCCCGCTTCCGCGGTTCCTTCCAGAGCCTCTGGCCTCTGCCTTCCCCCTCGTCCTCTCTCCCTTCCTCCTCTGATCTGCACCCCCATCTCTCTTCTTTCCCGCTCACTGACTCAGTCTGCCTCTCGCTCTCCCTGCTGGGACGTCCACCTTCATCTCCTCCAGGCTGGTTTCACTTACTCTGCTAACCGGACTCTGTCCCTACGGGGCGGCCGGACACGGAGAGCCTGCAGTGAAGGGACACAGGTCTGGCCCCCCAGCCCCACCCTGTGATCTGGCGTCCCTAGAGTCGACCGCCGCTTCCCATCCTCTGACACCCGCCCAGACCCAGCCTGGGGCATCGCCGAGGGGAAGGGCAGGTCGGCCGACCTCCCTGCTGCCCACCACGCCCCGGGCCTCCAGACCTGGTCTTCCACCTGCGTCTCCCACCTGCGGGCAGTAAACGCCACCATCTGGCCACACATCTGGCCTTCGCTGGCTCCCCCAGATCCAGCCGCACCTTCAGGGGCACCCCTTGCCTCCACCCTGGGCCCCACGCAGTAGCCAGGCAAACCGTCCCCAAACACAAGACCCTCCCAGCTCCATACATGCCAGTGGCTCCCACTGGCCGAGGATGGGGACGAGGGAGGGGAGGAGGGAGAGGAGGAGGGAGGGGAGGAGGGAGGGAAGGAGGGGAGGGGAGGAGGGAGGGGAGGAGGGAGGAGGGGAGGGGAGGAGGGAGGGGAGGAGGGAGGGGAGGAGGGCGGGGAGGGAGGAGGGCGGGGTGGGGGTGTCCTCAGCGAGCACACTCACCGACAACTGTCCGTCCAGGACCAGGAGTGGCTGAAGACCTGATGCCTGGGAACGGCCCACGTTTTGGGTCGGGGGGGGGGGGTGTACAGAGCCGCCCCTAAGACAGCCTCACCCAGCCCTCTTGTGCCCTGGTTCGCCCTGTGCTTGGGCAGGAGGCGGGGGCCCTATAAGCTGGGGACCTCCCAGGAGGGGTTTCTCCTGTGGCGCCGGAATGAGACACAGATGAGTAAGTAAGGTCAAGAGCAGCGGCTCTGAGGCGGGGCCCGGCCGACCTCTGGCGGGTGCCCCTCCCCCACCCCATGCCTGCCCCCCTGCCGGGCGTCACTCATGCTGGCCCCTCGCCTAGGAAATCACCTCCTCGCCTCCAGAAAGCCGTCCTGGGTCAGGTGCCCCCCGCGGAGGTGCTGGCTCCTGGGAGCGGGGGGCCTCGGCCCTGCCCTCGGGGCGCCTCTGCTCTCCTGCCCAGCTCAGCACCACCCACCCCGCCTGCCGCACTTGGGCTGCCTCCCTCGGGGTGCAGCCTGCGACGCCCGCGTCAGTCACCGAGCAGACATGGGAGCAAGTGCTCAGCTTTCCACAGACAGACGGGGGCCCAGGGGCCGGGGCTGCTGTAAAGGATTTCCTCAGCGATCTCTCATCTCCCTGTATCTCTGGGACTCTGGGAGGTGGGCAGGGCTGCGACTCGGCCCTGCTTCACAAGGTGACAACAGCCTGTGCCACCTGCCACGTGCCAGCCACGTGCCATGCGGGCCAACCTTGATGCGCCTCCCGGCCTCTAATCCTCACAGTAACAAGGTTAGGGTTGCCACTTCCTGCTGTCTTGAACTGGGAACCCAGGCTCAGCGCTCGCTGATTGCGCCCCCATCTTGGCCGTTTCGTGCCTCCGAGGAAGGGGAGGCCCGGGGAGTTGGCTGGGGAGACTGCGGGGCTTCTCCCTTCCTCAGGTATCTGGTCCTGGGTCTGCATCGCGGCGAGCTGCCCTCCCAGGGCAGTAAGCCAGAGCCAGGGCCGCCCTGTGCAGCTGGGTAGGCTGTGCGCTGTGCCCCTCCATGGGGTGCCGCCCCCCGCAGGGCAACGCCGCGTGGGCGGTGGTCCTGGCTAGAGCCTCCGAGGAAAGAAGGGAGGCTTTCTCCTCTCACGCATGATTTCCAAGGGGAATTAAAGGCAGCAGCTCCCCGGGTGAACACACGCTGCGGCCGTGCCTGGGCAGCGCCGTGTGGGAGGGAGGTGGGGCCACCCTGGGGCCAAAAGCGAGGAGGAAGAGGGTGGGGGAAAGCCCCGGGAAAGAACGTTCGAACGTTCTCGTTGCCGGTTCCCAGCGCGGCGGGGCTCCTCTGGTCAGGGCGCGGAGCCCTGCTGACACAGCGCCCCCTGGCACCGCGGGGCGGCACCCGGGCAGAGGGGCCAGGGCTGCGGGGCCTCCCCCGACCACCAGCAGTCTCTGCCCACCGGCCTGGGCACCCAGGTGGCACGTGTCCCCAGACTGCTGGGGGTGGGCTCTGACTAGGTGACGGGCGATGAGTCCAGGGGAGACTCTTGGGGGGAGGCCGGGTCTCGGGGGCCGCTCCAGGCCCACCTGCCCCACAGCAAACCACCCAGACCGTGGTTGACATGGCTGCATGGAAAATTCTGGAACACATCAGAAGTCATGCTAATTCTGAAGCTCGGCACAATGTGAGAAAGGAACGGAGACAGCCAGCTCACGCCCAACTCTCCCTGCGGCGGGGGGGCGGGGGGGGGCGGAGGAACTTGGGAGCGTCCGGAGCGGGCGCGGCCCCAGCGGCTCGGGGAGCAGCGGCCAGAAGGCTCCTGGACAGGGGCCCGGGTCACGGGGCTCTCCCTGCTCATCTGCAGCCTCGGGAGCTGACGGAAGGGACGCAGCTGGGGTGACACCGATGTCCACACCCCGATCCTTTGCTCAGACTGAGATGTGCCTGCTGGACGGGCGCAGGGGGCACGAGGTGGCGTCCCTCACCCTGTGTCGCCGAGCTCTGCCAACGGGCCCCCCAGCTCCTTCCGGGCTGCCTCAAGGCGCATGTGTGGGGAGACAGGGACTCGCAGGAGGCTTGCCCTACACTGACCCCGTGGGGACAAGTGTCCCAAGCACAGAAATAGCCGTCCTGAGGGTTTCTGCCCAGGAACCGGCTTCGTCAGAGGAACACCCGCGCAGAGGCCAGGGTCTCAGGAAGGGGACACAGACTTCCCGTCAGGACCTGGGCAGGAGGCACTTGACCCCGGGAGTCACATCCTGCGTCTCCCCCGATGCAGCCAACCCCTTCCTTTTAAGTAAAGCGATGGAGGCCAGAGAGGTGCCAGCCCCCCAGGCCACCTGTTTCCACCCGAGCCTCCGGCCTTGTGGGCACCGTGGTGCTGGCCTCAGCTGGGCGGGGGTTCAGACTCTCTCCACTTTGCTGTGTGACTCGGGCAACTTGCTTTTCTCCTCTGGGCCTTAGTTTTCTTATCTATAAAATGGGCGGGTTTGGCTAAATGAGCCCCAGAACCCCTTACAGCTCTAAAGTGGAGGTGTCTTTGATCATACTTGGCTCCCCGCCAGCCACCCCTGCCCTGTCCAGGGAGCCTGTGACTGGGCACTGACCACAGATGTTGGGCACCCTCTCAGACAGGTGGCCTTTGGTGTCCATGGGGAACAGAATGCAGTCAGGTGAAAGTAGCCTTGACCCAGCACTTCCACCCCGAACCAAGGAGCTGAGCAGGTGACCAGGTTACATGGAGCCTCTGGCCGAGACCTTCAACCCCTGAGTACACGATATCCAGCAACAGGGCGGGAGGGGTGAGCCCGTGCCACAGCTGGGCTCAGGCCGCCACGCGGGGCCCTCCCTCCAGCCTGCTGCCCAGCGAGCCCCCACCCTTCATCCCAGCGCCCGGCCCTGCTGCCCAGCGAGCCCCCGCCCTTCATCCCAGCGCCCGGCCCTGCTGCCCAGCGAGCCCCCGCCCTTCATCCCAGCGCCCAGCCCTGCTGCCCAGCGAGCCCCCGCCCTTCATCCCAGCGCCCGGCCCTGCTGCCCAGCGAGCCCCCGCCCTTCATCCCAGCGCCTGGCCCCACTCCGTTTTACAGGAAGCAGGGTCACAGAAGATGCTCATTACATGTTGCCAAGGCAACAAACCTGCCTGGAAACTAGAGCCCACCTCTAACCCTTCACTGGACAAAACCGCAGAGGAGGGGGCATCGCAGCAGAGGACAAGCTGGGGACGGAGCCCAGGAGCCGCAGACAAGGCCAGATGGCTGAGTGCCAAGGAGCGAACAGACGGGGACCGGAGCGAGCGAGACACGAGGGGACGGCCCCCTTTACTTCTTTATTTTGGGTCAAGTCTGTCCTGACGTCATCCGTCTTGCCGGCGATGACAGGGACGCCGACGGTTCCGGGGGCGAACATCTATCTGTTGACTCTGTTTTTACCTGGCGAGCGATTTCATTAAACGCGTCCTGAGCAGCGGAGCCACCGTCCAGACTGTGCAGGAGATACAGGGACCCCACTGCCATCGTCACCCGCTCGCCCAAACACAGGTTTGTCCAATTGTCAGCTCAAGTGGCCTTAGGCCCTGGGATCTCGGATCCCTGACGGATCAGGGAGGGCCAGGCCGGGGGTGCCCAGGCCGGGGGACCCCGGAGGGAGGCCTGCAGGCCATCGGCCTCTCGAGCAGAAGAGAAGCAATCAGAGAAGCTCATGCAAGGCGAGCGAGGCCCCCGCCGCCCGGGCCTGTGTTCCCGTCAGCGATGGAGAAAACACTAGAAGAGGTGTCCGCGAGGGTGCTGGGGGGAATGTGCGCACATAACCGGCACGTGACAAACAGCTCTCTCCCTGCCTGGGCTTGAGGTCGCCCTCACCCAGGGCTTCCGAGACCCCCGCCCCGACTACCGGCCCTTGGGATGGGCCTCATTTGGCTGCAGCGACCGTCTGGCAACCTCGGGAAGGCAGCGTCTAATGTCTGAAATAACGAAAGCCTCAAGACACATTTGTCCCTAAATAAAACCCACACTTTAAATTATAAACAAGAACAAAACAAATTAAGGATGCTGGGAACTAAGAGGGAGCACATTACATGCCAAGCTCGACAAAATGATTAGGAAGCTGTGTCCAGTTAGCTCGACTCACATTTACTTCACTCTGTGAGTTTGACAACATAAGCACTGACGGCCCCCCGCCCCCACGCCCACTCCATGCCTCCGAGGGCGAGGTACCTACTAACAGGAAGTGGCTTCCCACGGAACATCAGTGTTCTTTACGGTACTCATCGGTTTCGGTCTAGGTACCAGAGAGCGCGTCCTCAAACCGATGATCAGACGACTTTATAGCCCGAACTGAACAAAGAGTACGTTTGCTTTGCACATTTTGCTCTTTCTCCCTTGGCCCCAACACAGTCCCATGAGACACCCCCCCCCCCATTTAACAAACATCCTGAGAGTCCTGTAACAGGCAGTCAGGACCCCAGGGTGCCGGGCCCCCACGCCCAGCAAGGCAGGGGACAGGACAGGTCATGGAGCCTGTCCGAGCTGCTGGGCCCTGATACCCTGAATGGGGGCTCGGGACTCCACCCGTCTGCTCCCTTCCCAGGGCCACCAGAAAACAGCAGAGCCCGGCTCCCCTGCCCCCGGCTTTCACCTCCGCCTCCCTGAGCTCATAACCCCGTGAAGTAGGCAGGACAGCTTGAAGCTCCGGCCCACAGATCAGAAGAGCGAGGCCCAGGGAAGGAAGGAGACCAGCCGCTGTCTTACTTGGTGGAGGGCAGAGGACTCACCCAAGGTCGCACAGCCGGTCCGTCATCTGGCCAGGCTTTGAGTCTGGGTTTTCTGACTCTTTGCCACCGCTTTCAATTCTGGATGCAATAAACTTACATGCAGAAATGCGAGGTGTTATTACAATCTTGCTAATGTTTCTGAACTTGAACCAAGCTGGCTTCGTCACAGGTGGACTAGGCCGGGCTGCGAGGGCCCCGGACACTAAAGTGTGGAGGAGGGACTGTGCTCCCGAGGGAGCAGGGAAGGCGTCCAGGGGTCAGAGACGTCCCCAGGGGACCACAGGCTGGAGTCCGCATGCCACTTCTGCAGCCGCGCGCGAGGCGGCGGAGCTGCGGCCGGGCCAGAGGCAGAGGGGTCTGAGAGACGTCACAGAATAGGAACTCGATGCCTGTTTACAGCGCACGAGTGCAGGCAGCGTGCGTGGCTTTGAGCCCAGGAGAAACTCAAGACCCAACAGCCCTTCTCCCCTTCTTCGTCAGTAAAAAACCCAGGAATGAGCAACGATTATCAATAATAAAGGCTACACTTTCCCATCCATGTAACTGACCAGTGGATGAGAATGAAAACGATATGTGTTCCTTCCAGGACACGTCTTTAAAGAGAGAGAGCACATATTTTGTTCCTTCCTCCCTATTTTGTTTAAGCTGCCATTACTCTGGGTTTCCTGTCACTTGCAGCCAAAAGCTAGGACTCCCTGATAAAGCCCTGGAGAAAGAGAAGACAGAGACAGAGCAGCAGAGAGCAGTCAGAGGCCGGATGCTGATTCTGAACGTGGACTTGATGTACGGGACACTCAGCTTGTGAGAAAATGCATGTGAGTCGGCCTGGACGTGCACAGGGGGCATCCGAGAGCCCCCCCCGCCCCGCCCCCCCAGCAAGGGGGCTCCCTCCCTACTTGCTGCCTATTCTGCATCCAGACGCCAGGCCCACGTTCCCAGAATGAACCAGGCTGTATTATCTTCTAGTCAGGAACCTTCAGAGGCATCCGTTGCACTTGGCCTGACCCCTTCCCACAGCCCGGGGCCCCCAGTGTGGGTGCCCCTCCCCCGCTGTGGCCCAGGCCCTGCCACACGCCCATCCGTCTCCTGCCCTTCTGGCGACTCGGCACCCCGTGTTCTCTGCGGGCACGGAGTCTGCGTGCTGTCCCCTCTTCTTGGGCAGCTAACCCCCAGGGTGTGTCGGCTCAGCGGTTCTGCTGACGCCCGACCTCTCCGGGGCGACCTTCCAGGCCAGTCCTGGAGGCGGAGGTTTGCTCTCCAACCCACTACTTACAAAAACAAAAAATCATTGCAACCTCGTGTTGAAGTCCTTCACAGCACGTAGCCGAGACTGAGACCGGTTCTTTGCTTCCTGTGAGCGGCCCTCCCCTTCCCGTGTGTTTCGTCCTCTGAGGTCTATCTAATTCCTACGAGGGGCCTGGGGAGTGGCCGGACCCGATCGGATCGATACCATCATTATTCAGCAAGCTGTCAGAGAAGAGCCTTCGCTCAGGGGAGGGGCCTGGGACGCCGGGGCGCGCGCCCAGCCAGGGGATGCGTTCTCGGGGCGGGCACGATGGCGGGCAGCACAGAGGATGTCCAGCTCGAGGAAGCAGATCTGGCAGAGGAAACCGGGGAAGAGGTGGCCCAGAGAGCAGGGAGGAGACGCCGACCCCGGTGCTCGGGCCCGCGGCCGGATCAACTCAGCTTTCGTCGCAGTGACCACTGACGCAGAGGGACGAGCCCGGGCAAGGCCTCCGCCCCTTGCTGAGGCTGGGAGGGGGCCTGAGCCCCTGGACGCTTCGGGCCCCACCTGATCCCCACGGGGTTACCAGCCTCCTGGCCTTAACCTCAGCTGCGGTTCCTGTCCGCTGGCGCCTCCCGCGGCCAGGGTGCCGGCCACCGGCCACACGACTCAGGCCGAGCAGGCCGTCCGCGTGCAGGGAGGGAAGCTCAAGCAGGGGAGCGCCGAGCGGTCAAAAGAGCTAAATGTGAGCAGAGGCGAGCTGTCCTAGGTCACCTCCTCGGTCCCCACCACGTGCCTGCCCGGGCCACCTCAAGCCGCGTCAGGGGGAGACGGGGTAACACTAAGGGGCCCTAGAGTCCGTCTGGGGCCTCCACCCTGTGGGCACTGGAGGAGCAGGAGGGAGCCGCCGGGTCAGAACAAAGTCCTGGAAGGCCCTGTCCAAGGAGCAGCGGCCATCGGCTTCAGGGTGAGAGGGGTCCCGAATACCTCAGGGGCCTTTGGTGGAAGGGGGAACACCAGTCGCTGCAGTGGAGGCCTGCGGGGCGCTAAGCACTCTCCCCTCTGCCGAAGGCTTTCTGTGAACCAACGTCCTGTGGCCAGCCTGCCCACGGTCACCGCCAGTAGGAGCCCAAGCCCATCTCTGCCCAGATGGAAGTGGTTTAAACACCAACCTGTGTTGCCTGAATTTCTTTTGTGCTGAAACAGAAAACAGAGTCAGGACCCAAATCACAAACTGGGAGGAGTCTAAGTTTAACCAGAGCCAGGAGGACATTCCTATGTCAGAGCCGCTGCACAGGCGGAACGGTCTTTTAAAGTGGCGAGTTCCCTGTCCCTGGGCGTGTCCAGTAGGGGCTGGAGGCCTCTGGTCAGTTAAGGACGGGTATCGCGCGCAGGGCGGGAAGGAGAACCAGGCGCCAGGCCGTCCTCTGACCTGAGCTGAGTCGCGTCACCGTGGGACTCGGCCTCTGTGCACAGACACCGCCGTGACCGTGTTGGCTCAGCTGAAACATGTTTACAATTTCCGAAAGTTTTGCTACCTGGGCTCTGTGCCCCTCTCCCGTGTGGGCCGGCCTGGGAGAACGTGACCGGCTGTTAGGGCCAGTGACCCCACCCAGCAGGGGACCGGGGCGGCTCCGAACGTCCTAGGCGGTGCACAGCGGGGCACGTGGGTGTCTAGGTAGCGGGGAGTGTCGGGGGGCACTAATGGGCTGCCCTTTGGTGTATGTGTTCCCCCCATGTCCCTTCCCAGCTCAGCCTCGGGGCCAGCGGCCGGTGTCGGGGGAGGGGCTCTGCAGTAAACGGGAGGAGAGAATCTCATGAAAATCTCACCCCCAGTGGCAGTGCAGTGACTGAGGGACTTCAGGGCTCCACACCTGCATGGGTGCGGTGAGGACGGCCCGCCAACCCTGGGCGCCGAGCACGCGGGGAAGGCCCTCGCCGGGGGACGCCTGCCCAGGGCACGCACAACAGCCCCTGTGGAAAGCCTGGCAGAATGTGGCTTTCCAGTCTTGACTAATGCCAGCCCGAAAGTAGTGGCTGCCGTGGCCCACGGGGGTCCCTCCCTGTCCTCACCTCAGCTCCCTCAGGGGGTTCTGGCCCGCATGGGAGTTTTGGTAATGGCCACCTTTTCCATTGTCCTGGGGTAAGAACTAAACCCTGGGGCCCTTGGGCTCCCTGGAAGGAGCCAGCGGCTCCCTCCCCACCTGGTGGCCGGGGGACATTCCATCCAGCCCGCTGCCTGGGGCCTCGTCCCCTCCCAGGCCCCAGAGGCCGGGCGCTCGCTCAGCGGGGTCTACCTCAAGGCAAACCCTGGAGGCAGAGAGAAGCCAGGGAAACTCAGACCGTAGGGTGACACAGGCTGGCATATTTGGGGAGTGACTTGGCTGGAAAGAGGGAACGGCTTCTCCCGAGAGCAAGACAGAGTTCAGTTCACACCTGCTCAGCCCGGGACGTAGCACTTGGGAATCTGGCTTTAGGGGCATTTGTCACCTCTCCAGTTCTTGATCTTCCTAAGAAGTGTCATCCTTTAATATAACATATATGTGACCTATTAGTATTTAATATGAAAGCGCCAATACCCTAGTCACAAGCGAACCGTTTAATGCTTAAGTGTCAAAGAGCACAGAATCGCTGGAAACGTGGAAAAGCCTTGCTGAGTCACAAATCACCAAGAAAGAGAACGTGTAGAGGAGTAAAGATGGAGGAAACGTGAGACAAGCCCCTGAAACCAGAAAGGGGGCTGCTGGAGCCGGGGACGGGGAGCAACCCCAGCCCCAAGGCGGGCTGACTGACCTCATTGTTGAACCTGAACCCGCAGACGCTGAGACGCCGCACCTGTTCGCGCTCCCCGCCCCTGCCCGTGGAGACCCCGCCCTTCAGCCTCACCTGTTCGCTCTCCACCCGTGGAGACCCCGCCCCGCCGCGTGCAGACCCCGCCCCCCGGCACCACCTGTTCGCGCTCCCCGCCCCGCCCCCTACAGACCCCGCCCCCGGCACCACCTGTTCGCGCTCCCCGCCCCGCCCCCTACAGACCCCGCCCCCGGCACCACCTGTTCGCGCTCCCCGCCCCGCCCCCTGCAGACCCCGCCCCCCGGCACCACCTGTTCGCGCTCCCCGCCCCGCCCCCTACAGACCCCGCCCCCGGCACCACCTGTTCGCGCTCCCCGCCCCGCCCCCTACAGACCCCGCCCCCGGCACCACCTGTTCGCGCTCCCCGCAGCCGCCTCCCCTCCAGGGCTTCCGCCGCCTGGGCGCCACCTGCCCACACTGGCGGCCCCGAGTCTGGCCGACCCCTCGCCTCCGGAGCGTGTGCCGGGTCACACCTCACCTGCAGACGCCACCTGCCCGGACCCCGGCTCTAGGTCCCTCCCGGAAACGTCCCGCGGCCACGGAGGGGGACTGGGGACCCTGCCCACCGAGGCCGCCGTCTTCAGAAGGAACCTCACTCTTCTCTGAGAACAACCGTGTGTGAACCCCGAGCCGAGTCCCCGCCGAAGGGGAGGGGGTCTTGTGGAGGAGGCAACGCGCTCCCTCCTCCCTTTAAACCTAAACACGAGGACCTGAGG